ATTAGAGTTTCATCAAACAACAGGGGGAAGGGGGGAGCTGATGGCATAGTTGTAAGTCTGTGGACCAGTAAACGAGTATGCCAGGCAAATGCTCTAAGGACCTGGGTTTGAGTCTCACCATGGCAGATGGTGAAATTTGTATTCATTAAAACAAAATAGCTAGAATTAAAACTGGCCCAATATAACTATGTAATCACTTCTGATTAAAAAGGATGGCACGGTGGCTCAGTGGTTAGCACTGCTGCCTCACTGTTGCCGCCCTCGGGCAACTTAGTGAAGTTTGCACATTCTCCCCCTGTCTGCGTGGGTTTCCTCCAGGTGCCCAGGTTTCCTCCCACAGCCCAAAGATGTGCAGGCTAGATGGACTGGCCATGATAAATTGCCAATGATGCGCAGGCTAGCGGATTAGTGATGAGAAATGCAGGGTTACAGGGACAGGGTAGGGGTCTGGGTGGGATGCTCTTCAGAGGGTCGGTGTGGACTCGATAGACCAAATGGCCTATTTTCACATTGTAGGGATTCTATAATTCAACTGGTTCACTAATTCCTTTCAGGGAAGTAAATCTGTCAGCCTTACCTGGTTTGGTCTGCATGCAATTCCAGACCCACAGTAATGTGGCTGACTCTGAACTGCCCTCTGGGCAATTAGAAATGGCCGATGAATGCTGGACTAGTAAGCTGTGCACTAATCTCACAAACAAATAAAAATAAATTCTTAATTATTGCTGCAATTCCCATGTGGCCACATGTCTTCATGACAAATCATTGCCATTCAATCCCACTGTCTGCAATCTCACTCTGACTTTGTGATTTACCACATGTTCTCCCTACCTGAGCATGGGTTTTAATGACAACTATATAGTGTTGAAGGAAGGGTAAAAATAGTTACAGAGTCAAGAGAAAGCCATTCATTTTATTGTCCCTATACTGACTCTCTGTTAGAGCAATTCAGCCACTCCTACTCTCCCACCATTACCCTGTAGCCTTGAAAATCATTTCTCTCACGTGCTTGCCAAATTTCATTTTGTAAACCACAGTTGAACCTGCCTCCACGACACTCCCAGGCAGCGTGTTCCCGACCCTATCCATTCACAGTATAAAAAAGGTGCTTCTTCAAGTCGCCGCTGGATTCTTTTGCTACGGATCAAAAGCTCCTATATCACTACTTTATAGTCACTGCACCATGCTGGGATTCTCAAGAAGGTGAATGTCCTGGGAACTTGGGAGTCACAGCTGATATAACCAGCAGTGTGGGACGTAGAGAGGACGAGGTGTGTACTGGAAGGGGTAATTGACGATTAGCAGGGACAATGAATACAATAGCATCAATGAAATTAGGAAGAGATATGAGAGGGTGCAATGAAGACTCAATGATCTGATCATTTCACTCTCCCTGCGGGTTTGTGAAGCAAGTTGAAAGATCAATTCTCCCTTGAAGTCATGGTGGCTCCATCAAAGACATACTTAAAGCAGAGGGGAGTATGTAGACAGTAGCTGTGGCTCAGTACATTAATCCTTTAAACAGTATTTAAGGATTAAATTGTGAGGTTACATGCAATAGGCTAGTCAAATGAATATTTCATGTTGTGTAAAAGCAAATGCTGTATCACACAGTGCCTGTCTCATCATTGCGACCTCTTTTAAACCAAGCATTTTTAAACACCCCCCTAATGTTTAATGTTATGCCTCGGCTGACAACAATCTTTGTTCTGGCGTAGCCGGCCTGATTTCAGGCAAGATCAGGATCTGAGCTAATAATGTAGGTTGACTGGCCACTATAGTGCCTAGAGCACTGATTAAGTTGCTCTTCTCTCGATGAGGCTCTTCAAAGTAACAGGTCCCCCGGCTCAAGTTCAACCAAGGCGCTCAAAATCATGGAGAGAAATAAATAAAAACAAGGATTCTCTGATGTTCCCAGCCAAGAATGCACCATCAACATGAACAAAACCGGTTAAATAGACGATTAGTTTTACTATGGTTTATGAGACCTTGATGTGCAAAAGGATTTACTAGCACATCTATTTACACATTAACAGCAGTCACACATCAAAGGTAATCCATTGGATGCATAATCTTTTGATTTGTGGCGCTGTATAAATGCACCTGCTGTTTGAAGGCACATGCAGAAGCCATGAGGCCATGGCAGAAGAAGCGGCAACTTTTACCAGGGTGGGGGGAGGTACATAGAACAGAGAACATTACAGCGTAGTACAGGCCCTTCGGCCCTCAATGTTGCGCTGACCTGTGAAACCAATCTGAAGCCCATCTAACCTAAACTATTCCATTATCATCCATATGTTTATCCAATGACCTTTTAAATGCCCTTAAAGTTGGCAAGTCTACTACTGTTGCGGGCAGGGCATTCCACGCCCTTACTACTCTCTGAGTAAAGAACCTACCTCTGACATCTGTCCTATATCTATCACCCCTCAATTTAAAGCTATGTCCCCTCGTGCTAGCCATCACCATCCGAGGAAAAAGGTTCTCACTGTCCACCCTATCTAATCCTCTGATCATCTTGTATGTCTCTATTAAGTCACTTCTTAACCTTCTTCTCTCTAACGAAAACAGCCTCAAGTCCCTCAGCCTTTCCTCATAAGACCTTCCCTCCATACCAGGCAACATCCTGGTAAATCTCCTCTGCACCCTTTCCAATGCTTCCACATCCTTCCTATAATGCGGTGACCAGAACTGTATGCAATACTCCAAGTGCGGCCGCACCAGAGCTTTGTACAGCTGCAACAAGACCTCATGGCTCCAAAACTCAATCCCTCTACCAATAAAACCTAACACACCGTACGCCTTCTTAACAACCCTAGCAACATGGGTGGCAACTTTCAGGGATCTATGCACATGGACACCGAGATCTCTCTGCTCATCCACACTACCAAGAATCTTACCATTAGCCCAGTACTCTGTATTCCTGTTACTCCTTCCAAAGTGAATCACCTCACACTTTTCCGCATTAAACTCTATTTGCCACCTCTCAGCCCTCTCAGTAGACAAGAATCTACTCGCTGAGAATCATTTCTACCCTAAAAAGGGGATGGAGAAGGTTGGGGATTTCTGATTCCCCAGAAACAGGTAATTGAACACCAGTATTACAGGAAGAGTCTCCGATCTTATACATTGTCTCCATACCTTTCTTCATTACGCTCTGTCTACTAATTTGTAAAAAGAGTAAGGTTCAACAGTATTTAATGAGGGGCTTTAAAATAATGAAAGGATTAGATTCAGTTCAAAGGGAAAATCTATTCAAACCATATAGCTTAGGGAAAGCTTAGAGCCAGGTTAAGTACAGCAATGCTATAATGACTAGATGATCTGTTGTAGTGATATTAGTTGCAGGATAAATATTAGGATGGCAGAGAGAATTCCCAGGAGAATTTCTATATCTAACTGAAGCGGTAGAGGACACATTGTCATCCAAAAGATGGCATCTCTGACAGTGCAGCACTCCCTCAGTAGCGCAATGAAAGTATCCGTTGAATAGGTTGTTATATTGATGGCTGGTTTGCAATGCAGGGATACCAGCAGTGGGGGTTCCATTCTTTCATTGACTGAGGTTACAACGAAAGACTCTCTTGCTCAACCAGTCCCTTCACTTTAGGGCTGGTGACCCTCAGGTTAAACCATCACCAGTTGTCACTGTCTAATAAGAGAGCAGACCTATGTCCTGATAGGACTATGGCTGCACCTAGACTGGAATTATGCTCAAACCCATTACTTTTGGGGGTTTGAACCCAATTCCAGTTTACATAAAAGACTCATTGAACACATGATGCTGCCAACTCTTGGTAAATAGATGTTGGTCTCCAATAACTTATTCATTCACTCAAGACTACAAAATGTTGTGAGAGTAATTGAACATGGGATTAACAGGGCAAAACCCGACGTTCATTTTAACTAGTATACACACACACACACACACAGTGCACTGATCAGCAATTTACCTTACAGTCTGATACCCAACCTCAGGGACAATACCAGTCCACCACCACCTTACTACAACTTGCACTGGGCTCAGCCAATACTGGATTTCCACAATATAACCCCTAAGCCCATCCCAGCTTTAAACCGTCTGAACGAAGGGGAAAAAAAACACCTTTTCGGTTTTGAAGACATACAGGGCAATATCAGGCAGGTTACCATTGCAAAAAAAAATCTATTCCATTGAGTGCGACTGAAGGAGAAACGAGGGTTGCCAACTCTAGTTGGTTGTATTCCTGGAGATTTTATCACGTGATCTCTCACCAGCCCCTATCCCATCCAATTAAACAGCTTTTCTTACCCATCTCCAATTTTTTTAACAAAAAAAACAAAAGTGTTCAACAAAAGAGATTTATGTTTTCAAGTCACTGCTGATTATTTCTGCTCCCAGTTTATGGTTTAAAGAAACACATCCCTGTCCTGGAAATGAATCCTTAAATCCTGGTGACTCCAGAACAGTCCTGCGTATCCAGAGGTAATGTTGACTTAGTATGGTACCCTACAACCTGGCAGCTGAGGTGATACCTACATCCTAATGTGAACCACAGCACCGTATCGTTCGTTGGCATTAACGGGATGGGGGATAAAAAGCTTTGCAGCTATTCCATTGTACATCCCAAATCTCCAGCATCCAGCCCCCACCCCCAGCCCCACCGACTCACCAAATCCCCCACAAAAATCAAATTTTTCCGAATCCCAACTCGAACTCATAGGGAACACAGGCAAGCTCTGACAAGTGTTCTGTTCAAATCAAGGCGCAATTATGACTAATGGTCCAATTTGAATTTACTATAAACCTAGGACAGCAAATAAACAAGAGAGAGAGATAATCCAGATAACTACACGAGGAAAGGACAAGCGAGCAAGACACTGGACTAGGATCCAGCATGCAATCATTCCAAAATGCATCTCAAACAATTCCCAAATTCAGGCAGAAAGCAGAGCCGTTACATCCTACCCAGCGTGTGTGCGTGTATGGTTTATTTTCTGTTTGTGGTGTCTGACCCTACCTGCCAGCTGATCATATCCATCCATGTCCCTCTGCTCCGGGTTCGAGACACCACACTTCTTGCTTTTCCCTTTCATGATCCCGTCACTTCAGGAGACATTGAGGAGGAGGAGGAGGAAGCGGGGCGGGGGAAGCGAAATTGAGAAATAACAAGTCAATATTTTGGGGAGACAAACAGGGAGAAAGAGGTATAGAGAGAAGAAAAGCTGCTGATTTATTACCTTCCAGTGATGATCCCTCCGGATGGAGAATTTAATGTTTGCTGGGGATAGACTGGTTTCCAAACGAAACCAATGTTCAGGGTCGCTTGGCTGAATGGAAGTGCTGTCGTAGCTGGACTATTTCCTGGGGTTCCTCTCCCCCCACCACCCCCTTTCTCCAGGTACGATAGATCCCGACTGGTGTCTCTTGGAGTTACTGAGCCCAGCTCCTCACAAACAGACTGTGTCTGTTCCAGCTTTCTCCCACCCTCACCCTACAAGATGCTCGCTCAGCTCCGGCAAAGCCAGAGGCTTTTTTTTTTATTTTGCGATTCTCTGTTTGGAATTGCTGCTGGATCTTTCATTCAAAATAGACGTTTGTGACAAAAGAAAAGACATTGCCAAATTCCTGGTTTGACTGTCCCGAAGCGTCACTAAGTCCCCGCTGCACAACATCTGTGAGTGTTTTAATTCTACGATCGTTGCCTTCTTAACAGCTTTCGCCTATTGATAACACACCCCCCTCCCGGTTGTTCTGTGGAAGAAGCTCTCCCTGTTTATTTGACAGCCGGTGACTCTGTCTCTCTCTCTTTACACGGGATTGCTGGACAACTAAACAAACACCTGGGCAGGGTAACGTGTGGCAAATTCACCCATAGACATAATAGACAGAAAGAAATAATCACATACTGAGACAGGGAGAGTGTGTGAGCGACACGCAGCAGGGAGAGAATCAGGGTTCAAGCAGAGAGAGAGAGAGACTGTGCTGAAGACGGGCTAAGAAACATGCAAATAGCAGATACACACGTAAACGGCACACAGTGCTCTGCACAGACGACTAGGAGTTCACACATAAACACACAGTTAAAGTCTGTCCATGTAAACACTGACAGACAGCAGGAAAGGCAAAGGGAGTACTGGCAGAGCTAGTGGTTAGAAAGAGACACAGCGAACACAAAAAGTACAGTGTGACAGTGAAGGATAAGAGTTGAAACACAGTAATAGAAAAGAGCAGGGATTTCCAAACCACATCAGTTGGGATCCTTAGCAAGGTCACAAGTTGAAAAGTTTGGGGTGTTGAGCTCAGAGCATCAATGGCTGCCATGTATCCCCATCCCTCCCCTCAATCTCACAGATATTCCGTCCTCTGCCCCCTGCTCTCAGAGATCTTCCCAACACCTCATCCTGCTCTCATTGAATGTCACAGAGAGATTGTGACAATTTCTAAGCCTTGAAATAGGGTCACATTGGGAAAGGTTTGGGAAGTGCTGGCAAAGGGAATGAGGAATCCATGGGATAATGGAAAGCAGAGAAGTCCTAGGGACAATGTAAAGTTAAGTCAGAAGATGCATCATTGTCTTCAACTCAATGAGAGGAAGTAGAGAGGAACAGAAGTTGTGGTAGAATATGATGGGAACTTGTTCAGCAATGTTCAGGATATCTGGCCCTGTCAACAAAGTGGAAATCACCAAGGAAATTAAGCATGAACCACCAAAGTTAAGAGATGTGTAACACAGGAAGCAGGATCTTCAACATACCCTTATACTGGTCACATTGATACATTGTGATTCTATGACATGGAGTGAATAGGAAAGGAGCTTGGATTATTGGGAGTACATAGAGTGGGATTGATTGGGAATGTGCTCACCCATTGAGAATTTATGTAGAAAATGGGAGAGAACGGGAAAGTGTATGGCCAATTGGGATCCTTTGGAACAGGAGTGGTTGGGAAGGGATTTGGGCCATTTGAACTCCATTGAGTGAAATTAACTGGGAAGTAGTTTGGAAGTAGTTTGAAATTCTATAGAATGGGAATGATTGGGAAGGTTTTTATCCCATTGGGTTTCTTAGCATGGGAGTCAATGGGTAACAATTGATGTATTGGAGTTCTAGTGACTAAGATTTCTAAGATTAAAATTATGTGGAGTGGCACTTTTGATTAATCATTGTCACAAAATAAACTGGACAATGATTGATCTAATTAGGATCGAGAATTTTCTGTCCTAGGGAGGTGTTGATGCTCAGTCATTGCATATAATTAAAACAGAGAACAATAGATTGTTGGACACCAGGGGACCTATGAAATGAAGGAGCAGAGCATACAGTGGAGCCAGGAATATATTGAATGGTAAAGCAGACAATGGGGTGGAGACTAGATAGCCTATTTCTGATGTTATTTCTTATAATCATAAATAAAACATATTACAAGTGTTTGTGTCGTAGTGGATAATAGTTGTTATTATATCCATATATGTCTCATCACATCAAAACATTAAAAAGCCCTTCATGTTATAAATTATCTTTTTGAAGTGCAGCGACTTGTGTAAACAAATGTGGCACGAATTCTGTAATAGCTACATCTTACAAACAACACTGAGATGTTTAACCAGTCAATTTATATTTTAATGGTGTTCGTTGAGGAATGAATGTTGGCAGGACAACAGGAGATAATAGCACTGTTCCTCAAGTAGTACTATGCTGTGAAGTCTTCAATGTCTATCTGTTAGAGGCAGATAGGATCCCATGTTAAAGTTTCTAACAAAGGATGGCAGCTCTCACAATGCAACATTTCTCCTGGTGGTACCTTTGTGTGTCAATCTACTTTAGATGACTAAGAGACTGCCAACTAAGTCAATCAGATTTCACGTTATCTCCATTTCAGTGCAAAATGTTCCCAATTGTCAACATGACAGTGAGAAAGGATAGGGCCCATTGAAATTTTACACAATGTTAGTGAATGGGAAAGGGTTTGTTCAGTTAAGATTCACTACAATGGGAGTGAATAGGAATTCAAAGCGTGTAAAACAGACTCAGAATGAAACTGTTATACTTACTAATACCACTGCCAAGCAGTTCCATGTAGAGTTAATACCTGTCATTGTGGATATGCTTGTGTCATTATCTGATGCTGAGACTGCTACTGGGTTAGACTTCTGTTGGGTCTGTCAGCATCATGAATGATAAAAATATACTCAACTCAGTCTGACAGGTCTTGAGGCTCTGATCATGCATGTTATTCACCTCAACAAAATGAGCACTGACAGGTGACACAGTGGGACTGAATCTCTTCTCTGTAGTCTGGAAAAGTTCAATGTGCTGCAAAAATAAAAAATAGTATGAATCTTTCTGCACATGTTAGTGCAGTGGGTGCAGCTCTTCCTAATTGCATTCACTGAAGCCCAAACTTTTTGAATGCATTTTTGTGCCCACTCAGCCTTAATCACCAGGAAGGATATTGGAAAACCACAGACTAATGTGCTCACTGCTCTGCATACTGAGTGTGATAAGCAGCTGCTCAAATTGTCTCCAAGTAAGAACTTTGTTTCTCCACATTAATGATAAACCTTCCACTTCCTCATTCTAACAATCTGATAGATTTACACTTCATTTTCTTATCTCTCCATTCCCCCATCACTACTGCCAATACCACCTCCCCTTCAACATTTCCCCTCCATTCCCCCCGCAATACTTTCTTGGAAGCCCCTAGTCATTCAAATCAGTCTCTCTGACTCAGAATCACTGCAGCAGTTACAAACTGATAATTAGAAAGACTGATAGAAATTCATCTTCTGACCTCAGTTTCAACTTCTAATTTCTTTCTAAAAATTGCTGCTATTCTATAATTCCAAGAGTCTGCAGTTGTAGCACAAATCACATGAAAAATCTGGTTTGTGAAGGATAGGGGCAATGCACAGATCGTACTTTGCCTGTTCCCCATCTTAAATCTTGATGCAGCCGTATTGAATGGGGCTTAGTGGGTAGCACTGTCATGTCAGAGTTTGACAGTTGTGCATTCAGGTCCTACTGTAGAGACTTGAGCACAGAATCGAGGTGAACATTGCCAGGGCTACATTGTGGAAGTGCCTTCATTTGTAAAAACAAAGGTCCTGTGTGTGCAGTCGGGTTCATGGAAGACCCCAAGCCACAATTCTAAAGAAGGTCAGAGTAGTGTTACTCTGTATCTGATAAATATTTACCCCTCAATCAACCTCACTAAATATTTCCACTCATTATATGTTTGTTGTGTGCAAATTGGCTGTTGCTTTCTCTACATTAGAGCAGTTTGAAAGTACAGTAGACAGTAGTCATATGATGGTACAGAAATTGAATATTGCTTTAAAAAGACACATTTTGTCAATTTTTATTGTCTAGTACTCATCAGGACAGTTCACATGAATACCAGTGGAAAGGGAAACTAACATTTGTACTGAATGAAAGAAGAATGCTGATTTTTTGACAAATTGATTCTGGCTTAGGCATTACCATGGAGAATCCAACCATTAAATGATAACTGATAGATAACTGTCAAACTTCGTTTAAATTTAGATCAGGTAGATTGACTGAGATTGATCAAGGCAGCCACATGAGAAATTAACCAGAGAATGCCTATCGCCAACAAAAACAGAAGTTGCTGGAAAACCTCAGCAGGTCTTTTGGCTTTTAAAGCCTGTCGCTAGTTATGTTGAGCTGAAACAGGTGCAGTGTATGTTCATGGTCTTTCTGTCTACAAATTAATACATGTAGCTTCCAGTGTGTGCCACACAGTGAGCCTGATTGGTGATCTTAAATTACTTTTCAGTATAATTCATAGCACACTTGGAATTATTTCGCAAATTCAATCACAGAATTACATTTAATATTGGACACTGTTTTGAGTTTTACAAGCACAGGTTATTTGGGTGTAGCCAGCAACTTGTCTGTTGCAAACAGACAAAAGGAAATGCTATTAGATACAATCGGCTGGTTTTTGGGACATATGACCTAAATACAGTACAGGATCCAATGCAGCCACTGGATTCCAACTTTTTCAGTTGTTTATACGCTTCCCAGAAGTTATTAAAAAATAGTAATGAGGAGGAGTAACCTTGATAGATTTATTTCTCGTCCTTAGCCAAGACTAGGTGAGGTTATGTGTATCCGGTTCAATTACCCTCCTGAGATTGAATGTGGCTTTTTCATGAAGCCATTCTGCTTTATACCTTATCTTAAATTGCCTTCACCAGCCCAAGTAGAGGGTGATGGGTGAACAGGGCAAGTAGACAGGATAGTGAAGAAGGCATTTGGTATGTTTGCCTTTATTGGTCAATGCTTTGCATATAGGAGTTAGGAGGTCATGTTGCAGCTGTACAGGACACTGGTTAGGCCACTTTTGGAATACTGCGTTCAATTCTGGTTTCTCTGCTATAGAAAAGATGTTGTTAAACTTGAAAGGGTTCAGAAAAGATTTACAAGGATGTTGCCAGGTTTGGAGGGTTTGAGCTGTAGGGAGAGGCTGAATAGGCTGGGGCTATTTTCCCTGGAGCACCGGAGGCTGAGGGGTGACCGTATAGAGGTTTATAAAATCATGAGCGGCATGGATAGGGTGAATAGTCAAGGTCTTTTCCCCAGGGTAGCAGAGTCCAAAACTAGAGGCCATAGGTTTAAGGTGAGAGAGGAACATGCAGAGGGTGATGCGTGTATGGAATGAGCTGTCAGAGGAAGTGGTGGAGGCTGGTACAATGACAACATTTAGAATGTATCTGGATGGGTACATGAATAGGAAATGTTTAGGGGGATGTGGGTCAAATGCTGGCAAATGCGACTAGATTAAATTAGAATATCTGGTCAGCAT